AGGAAGGGGTCCCCTGCGTGTTCTCATCCTTCAAGTAAAAGGGGGGAGAGGGGCGCGTGAGATCGGAGCGGGAGGGGGGCAGGTGGGGGCTCAGGAGAAACACGTGAGGGCGGTGGCGAGAGGACCAGGGCGCTCGATCCGCTCGATTAGGTGGGAACTATGCGTGGGGGGGCGTGTTTTCCTTTTATGGGTTGTCCTAATGGGGTCGTGCGCTGGCGCTTTCTTTTGGGGAGAGTGCTCGATCTCGCGAGCGCGTGCTCGGGCGCCAGGTAGCAAGGTCCATGTTTTCTACTCCCTCCGTTTCAGCTTACAAGTCCTGCGCGTATACTTAGGTTGCCAATTTTATCACCGTAATATAAACTATATAACACAAAAATTATACCGTTTGAACATATAAAACATCTAAAGTTTATAATGATATGTTTTTTTATAATATATGACTTCTATTAGTTTGGTCAAATTGATGATCTAGGGGTACACGCACGCTTTATAATAAACAGAGAGAGAGGGGGGGAGTAGCAAACGTTCCCAACAAATATTGTTCGCGAGATAGAGAAAATCGTTGGCAATTCGTGTTCGTGAAGGATTGGAAACTGGGCCAGTGCTACGATTCGGAACCGACCCGACCCTCCTATACATCAACATGTCCCATGATCGGCTCTGCGGGGATCGACTTGGATTGGAGCGTCGGTACGGAAACAGGAAGCATTGGAGCGATTTCGATATCCTGCCTCGATGTAAGCATCTCTCTCGCCGGCATTGTCACCAGTCTCCGCCGGCGCTGATACGTATTGTAATTATTAGGGCATCTCCAGCCCGCGCCCCTAACAGGCCCCTTCAGGTCACTTTTTCGGCGCCGGCGCTGAAAAAACGGCCCAGTCGTGCCCCCAGGACGCTGAAAATCGTCGGTTCGGACCTTTTTTCCGCCCGGCGCTCACAGGCCAAACCCGGCGCGCTGGGGAGCTGTTGGGGGCTCCGGCGCTAGGGAAAAGCACGCCTGGCCCACACCGCCAGGGAAAAAGTCAAGGTTTTCTTCCCCGACTCGCCTCGCACCCCCCGCGCCCTCGGCCACCACTAGCTGTATCCCGGCGACGGCCACCGCCCGACTCCGGTAGATAGCCATTCCCCGCCGGAAAATAGCAGCGCTTCGCCGCGGCAGCCCCTCCCGCAACAGCTAGGCGTTTCCGGTCGCAGTTTCCGGCCGCGGAGGCGCGGTTTAACGGCGGGTTCACGGCCATCGAGCGCAAGGTGTTCGGCGATTTGCCCGTCTCGGCGATGGACTCGGATGAGGAGGAAGAGCTCGCCGCGCTGCTGGAGGAGGAAGCCGCGACCGACGTCCAGGAAGAAGAGCATCTGATGGTGCTCTCCGCCCTCGCCCAGCTGCTGGCGAGCAGTGAAAAGCCGCGGCGAGGTGGCTCGGCGCCGGGGCGGGTGAAAGCAAAGAACCGGCATCGTCTGCAAGGCTACTGCATGCTCTACTCCGACTACTTCGCCGATGCTCCACTTCATGGCGAGAGAACATTTCGGCGCCGTTATCGGATGAGCCGAAAGCTCTTCCTCAGGATTGTGAATTCCATCCGGGAGTTCGACAACTACTTCAAGTGCAAGATGGATTGCACTGGCGCTCTTGGATTCACCTCCATCCAGAAGTGCACGACAGCGATGAGGATGCTTGCATATGGAGCTCCCAGTGATTCATTCGACGACTATGGGCGCATGGCCGAGTCCACCAGCATAGAGTGTTTCTACAAGTTCTGTCGGGCAGTGGTGGCAGTGTTTGGGCCACAATACTTGAGAACACCCAATGCGGAAGACACTGCTCGGATCCTAGCCCAGAATGCAGCAAGAGGATTTCCTGGGATGCTTGGAAGCATCGACTGCATGCATTGGAAATGGAAGAACTGCCCATTTGGTTGGCAGGGGATGTACAAAGGCGCCAAAGGCGGTTGCAGTGTGGTGCTTGAGACGGTAGCCACACATGACCTCTGGATTTGGTACTCCTTCTTTGGTTATACAGGAACTCACACATGACTTGCTGTGTCATCTTGCACAACATGATCATCGAGAGCGAGTAAGAAGACCCAGTGTTTGACACTGAACCATACTACACGCAGGGTCCTCTAGCCGAAGTTGATCACCAGCTACCGGCAACTTGGACTGCCTATCTCAGTATGCGTCAGGAGATCCGAGACCCACAAGTGCATCATCAACTGCAGAAAGATCTGATTGAGCACCTATGGAGACTCAAGGGGGACGCCTCGTGATGAAATACGAGTTTTTATTTGTTGAACAATATAATTTGTATTGAACTATTTGTTGTTGTAGTATTTTGTTGAAGTATTTGATTTTTCTGTGATGAAATATGTGATAAGAAATAATTGTGTTGATAATTGAACGCCGAGACACGGCGAAACCACGCCGAATATGGGCCTATTCTCACCCATATGGGTCGTTTATTCGCCGAAATTGAGATGTAAAGTGAGCCAATTTCAATGCCTGGGCGCGACGACTGGGCACAAAATCGCTCCCAACGCCGAGTGCATCGCCGGCTCGCCCCAGGGAGCGATTTTTATGCGTCCTGGGGGACCAACGGCTGGAGATGCCCTTAGTCGCCGCCGGCGTGTCCATGGACCTGACCATGGATGGCGTCGGAGATAGATAGATAGATAGATAGGGCCCGGCCCGTTTGCCAGAGCGTTGCGTCGGGGCCTCGGGGAACTGTGTGTGTATGTATCCTGATGACAAGTGGGCCATACCATACCGTCGACCTCCTTCCATCTTGCTTCTCCTCCGTTCCCCTCCCCTCCTCTCCCCGGAAAACCCTAACCCCCTTCTTCCGTCATGGCCACCGACCGCGCAAGGGGGCGACGCTCCCGGCGACAGCCTGTGGTGCCCGTGCAACGCCTCCGCACCCCTATTACGGGACGAGCAAGTGGATCCACGAGTCTCCGCGACCTGCCGCCGCCCGTGCTCCCGCCTCCTGATTTGATGGACGCCTTCCGCTCGCTGCACCAGTATGACCATCGTCGCCACCGCTTCTTTCCTTTCTCTTTCGGTTTCTCATATTTGCGTAGGATTCATGCTGCACCGGTAGATGATTGTTTTGGGTCTCTCAGTTTCCGTAGAAATAATATATTTTATCTGGAACACACACACACACACACACACACACACACACACAAGTCTCTGTATGCTTCATCAAGCAGATCCAGACTGCATTGATGTTGATTATTCATCTCCTAACAGCCTGCTTCTTTCACTCCAGCTCCGGGGAGGATGAGCAGCAAAAGCCGGCCACAGCATTGGAGGAATCGCCGTCATCATGGACCTGGCTTCCCTTGTTATCCAATTTGTTTCAGAAACAGCACAGCCAACTGCCGTATGGCCACTCAGCCTCCCCCTCTTGTTATATATCATCATGTTTAGTCCAAGTCAAATTGTTTCATTTGTCAATGGAGGCTTGTTGCTTGGATCGTTCATCGATGGAGGATTTGGGATAACAAGGGTTTCTGTACAGGATGGTTGGTTTGGTGTTGTTCATGTTTTTCCTCGCCAATAAAATTTTGCATCCAATTGGTTTTGAGCCGATGTTTGGCAAACCAATCACTAGACTTGCCAAATTTTGGCTTTCCCAATACCGCAGCGCAAAAGTTAGCAACAACTAACCTATCCAGCCCGCATTTCACACCGATTTCAGGCCTCTTATCGACCTTTTGCCATGATGATACCATGGATTATTCATTCACCACCTAAGATAATTTGGTTTTGCTCATCGAAACTGCTTGTTCCAATGCAGGTCTCAGGAGCATGTGGCTGAGTCTGCGTCCGGACAAACGCTGCAGCAGCTGGACGTCTCGTCATCAAACAACTTGGTTGATGTTACACCATTCAAGGGATTGTCCATCACTGCCACGTCCTCGTCCTCTCAGCGTGACACCATTTGGGTCCGATACCAGTGTGATTGGGGGCTCACATTTTACACCAGGATCGATCTTCATGGATATTTCCACACATATCCTCATGTGGATGGGCCATTTCAGAGCTTAGAGCAAGTTAACAATGCCATTGATCGCTATCTTCATGACCGTCGGGATCCAATAATGTAAACTTTCTCAACTCTTTTCTTTGCGTGCACGCTTGCAATTGATAATATAGTCAAACAAGTTCCAATTAATGCTTTTTCCTTCTATGTTTTAAGCCCCAAAGGTGATTACAGTTTTTGCATAATTAATCAGGAGAAGAACGAATGAACCCTAGTTAGATTATAGAAAATTTGGTACTTTCATACATACAGAAGAAACAAAATGACGCACCAAACTGCCTTAATTTTTAAGTTCCTGTTCTGAGACCACTTCAAGTTAAGGAGACATTTTAACTATATTTGTGAGAGAGTTGCTGAAGTAGTGCGTCAAATTAATATAGATGCTATATGTGCTACCACTTTGTAATTTTGTATGTAGGTCTCTTTCGTTTTGGTCGATTAATGTCATGAGCTACGCCAGAAGACATGTGCGAGCTGTTTGATCCTTGTTAAACAATCCTGCATGCATACTATTTGTCCCTAATCCTATTTCCGGATGATAGCATTGAAACTATAGCCAGTACCTCTTTGTACACTCCACTGTTTGTGAAAGTAAAATATATTAACCATGAAGGAATCTCTGATCTAAACTAGGTGCGAGGAGCGACCTGAGTTCTATGAAGTGGGTAAGGCTAGTGTTGAGAGGGGTATACGGGACTCTCTTTTCTGGCCTGATGGCTCAAAGAAGATGTACGTGAAATCTGAGCCGGTTGATGAAAGCCGTTGCTGGATGCTCCAGCTGGTTCAAGCTTTGGTGGACAAGTATAACGAGGATCACAATCTTTTCAAGGTTTGCTCTTTGTCCTCCTTCCTGTCCTTACTCTTTATCATGCTACCTGTATTGCTTTGTGTTATACGACTGTCCTATTCGTTCATCTAACAACTAGTCGCTGATGGGATCCATTCTTCTTATCTCAGGATCTTGCGTTTGAAGTTAAAGATGTTGTGTGCTACGAAGTAATATATGAGGGCAACTGCCTCTACTACCATATTAATTTCACTACAAGGACCAAAGGAGCAAAGACCGCCGACAATCTATTCTTTTCTGAAGTCAAACGTATGCCAGGAGAAGACAAAAAATTGGTGGTCAGCTGTACCTGCATGGTTGATCCTTCTGATAACGGTATTTTGTACTCTCATCAAGTGTCGCTGAAATTTAGTTCAAACGTTTTTTTCTTTCAAACCGTATTTTTACTCTTATCATGGTTGACCTGTTTGTTTGTGCCTCGTGGGATTTTATTCTTGTAATATCTCAAAGTAGTTCATGCACATCCATGTGTAATATCTCAAACTAGTTTATTACCTTCAGTTAATCAGCTATCATTGTTTAAAGGTCATTATCTCCTCTCTTTATTTAAAGGTCTCCATGGTTGACCGTTTTGATAACGGTACTTTATACTCTTATCATGTGTTACTAAAATACAGTTTAAACGTTTATGTCTTTAGTGTATGATCTCTGAATTGACCTGTTTGTTTGTTTGTGCCTCGTGTCATCTTATCGATTATCCTTGAACTTTGCATTGTGATATCTCAAACAAGTTCATGCACATCCATGTGTATTATTACCTTCACTTAATCAGCTATCATTATTTAAAGGTCCTTATCTCCTCTCTTTCCTTAAACGAAGGTCAATGCTACGGCTGTGAAAGTAATATGAAGCACCCCAATGCTGATGCATATGCTGGTGGTCACTCGAAGGTTTGCAACTTGAAGGGAGAATGTCTTGGTCCTAATATAGCGGTCGCAGAGACTATGGATGACGTAAGTGTGATGTTTTTATTTCCTGGTAAGCTGGCGTTTGACATTTTCTGTTGCTGTGTTCGTTTTTAATTGAATGAACGTCTTTTACAGTGGAAGGCTGAGGAAGCGAGGGTAAGACAAATGTTCAAGGTAAAGACGCTTCATCTTGTGTGCTAGGTATATAATAACATGATGTTGGTTAGTTGGTTGATCAATTCCTGCTTGTGCATTTGTTTCCATCAGGGCCTTGACGATCCAACTGTTGTGGCGCGACTCATGGAACCACCCAAGTTGAACTTCGGAGCAACCAAGGCCACCGATGAGGAAGTAGAACGTTTTATGAATTCGATCATGGGACCATGCGATCCTAACCTTTGCACCACTTATGGCATCCTCGATGCTAGCGCCGTAGAAAGATTTAGAGTGGCGCTAATGTAAGACCAAGGATGCTGCCCGGAGTTATGTTGCACTTTCTTGTGGCTAGATGGTTCCTATCAGCAAACCGTTCGATACCAAGCTATTTTGTGTCGCCTGTAGAAGAAGCTGATCGAATGCTTATTTGGTTTGAAGATTGTTATATGTACGGCTTTTATTATGTGTGTATGGCAGTACTGGTTATGGCTGCTCGTCCTCGTATCCATTTTTTTTATCGACTGCTTGGGTATGTCAAATATAACATAAGAGCAATCTCCAATAGATGGTCTAAAATTTGGCGGTCCAAAACCAGAGATGTAAAATTTGGACCGTTAAAAAGTGCGTTTTGAAGCTCCGAAAAAAGCTCAACTCCAATAGATGGTCCAAATTGATGGTCCAAAAAAGCAACTCCAACAGATGGTTCAAAATGAAGATGTAAAATCGTCTTGATCGTCTTCTTAACCTCGGGACGTCGGCCGCCTTCGTCAAATCTGTCGCCATCAAGCTCTCCCCGAGCGCGCCATCCTCCCCGTGATGAGCTCCTCTCCCAATCCCCCTATTTTTCCCCTTCGATCGGTGTCGTTTGCCACCGCTCCCGTGCTCGTCCGTGGTCGCCATGGCCGGAGCCTGAGCTCCCCGGTATGTGCTCCTTTGCCGGCCAGCAGCGACAGAGGAGGGCAGCAGCCGACGCGAACACCACGAGCAGCGGCATAGGCACGCTGCACGGGCCAGCAGCGACGACAGCTCGGCTGGACAGGGTCAGTGCGGGGCGGCGGCGGGGCCGGGAGGCGGTGGCAACGGGGCGGGCCAGCAAGCAGCGGTGGGCGGCGGCCTAAGGACCCGGCGGAGGCCTACATGGGCAGCCAGACCGCCGGAGGCGCCGAATCCCACCGCGGCTGCCTCCTGATTCGGCGGCGCCCGGGCGGCTGCGAGATGGCTTCCGGCGAGGGAGGCGACGGGGGCGAGGGCGGCGCGACGATTTGGGGCGGTGGCGGCGACGGCGGCGGGGATTTGGGCGGTGGCGGTGGCGGATCCGCCCGACTGGTGTTCGGGCGGGTGGACAGGCGCGGCTATGAAATGAAATGAAGTGGCGGTTGGGCGTTGGCGGGTGGTCACCGAATTTGGACCAGATGCATCTCGTGATGTAAATTTGCACCGCGAGATGTTGTATTTTACATCACGAGGAGGCCGCGGTCCAATTTTTTTACATATGAACCGTCTGTTGGAGTAGCGTTGCTTGCCCCAGACGGTTCAAAAGTTAGGTATTTTTACGTTTAAACTGTTTATTGGAGATGCTCTAACTGTGTCTGATCTATGCATGACGCGTTGAAGGAGAGAACACCGACCAGATGGACATATATACAACGACTCACCAAAACTTGATGTTTGCCCGTTTGGTTTTCAAGCAAAAAGAAGGCTTAAGACGAAAATCCAAATCTGAGCCCGAGCTCATCTGCACCTACGCTCACCAAAAAAATAAAATAAATACTAAAAAAATTCAAAAAAATCCAAAAAAAATTGGGGTGGTGGACAATTTGATGCGTGAGGTGCGCCCCAATTTTCAAAACATTTGGACTTATGTGCAGCTCTCAGCAAAAAAGACAAATCGGAGGTCTGTAAAAATGTGTACTGTTCATATACTGTTTTGGTCTGATTTGTCTTTTTTGCTGAGAGCTGCACATAAGTCCAAATGTTTTGAAAATTGGGGCGCACCTCACGCATCAAATTGTCCATCACCTCAATTTTTTTCGGAATTTTTTGAATTTTTCTGATTTTTTTACGAATTTTTTTTGAACGGGTGCAGATGCACCCGGGCACCGAAACGCCGCACTCCCCTGACCTCTTTTTTTAAAACCGAGAAAGCGCTTGCTGCTTGATCTCTTTTGTGTCCAACTTCTGGCCATCAATGCCTATGATGCATAAATCGATAGCTAGCCCATCGAGATACGTTCGGCTAGAGGCGGACGTACACGTACACGCTGCAAACGTCGACCTTCAGTGCATGTGTTAATTACCTTGGTCTTTGACTGATTACAAGAGATAACTCTACTACAGATCTTAACATCTAGGAGGACATGCTCGTGCAAGGCTGAATGCATACGGTGGCTATTAGTACAAGCTGATCCCTGAGTGTAGCTGAATATGCATGCAACAATGTAACAGTCGATGCAAACCAAAGAAAACCGAGAAAAATTGCCACTTGCCAAACACCTCGGCAGTTTTATCAAAACTGAGAAAAACTATGGTTTTTAGAAACTAAAGTATTTATTGCCCATGTATTGAAATACTTAGATTTTGGAATACCATGGTTTTGAAAAAACGTTGTTGCCAAACTAGGCCTAAAATGTCAAGTCACACAGGAGACACACCAAACATTGTCGTTGTAATTTTAGCACAGTATAACCGAGGCTAAACCGAGCTCTCTCACGTCCTTAGCCATTTTGGCCGTCGGATTTCGGGTTTGGATCGTTTCTGGCCGTCTGATCTTTGTTTCAGCGCAGTTTATGGCGACCTGGGCCTCCTGTGCAGCTACTCCGGCGGAAAAATCCGACTACGCTGGTTGATTGGGCCTAGAGAGGGTAAGCACGGCCCACTGATACACCCAACCCTGTTCGTTTCACGCACCCGTCTCACAGCTACTTCGTTCTCGCAGCGCCTCCTCCCCCCGACGTCTCCTCTTCTTTCTGGCGACCTCGACCACCGCCGCCGCCGACCACGACCTCGAGCAGTGGATCTTACTCCTCCGTCCTCGACCTCGAGCGGCGGTAACCATCCTAAATCGCACACGTGCTCTTCACCGTTAAGAGAAATCCATCGACGTCCATCGTGCCTCGCGCGACCTAGGTATTTAGATGACGCGTCGTGTGCGTGGGGAGTGAGGGTGGGGGATTTGTGCGTCCGGGGTTGCGGAGGGGGTTCGATTCGGCAAGGCTGAGGCGTGGGGGCGAGCGGTCGGGCCACTGGACCTGCGCCCACATGCTGCAGGTTATGGCCGGCATCGACGGCGGTGGGGACGCACCAGCAGCGCGGCAGCCTGGGTTGACGCCCATGGAGCTCATCGAGCAGGTGTGTCTCTCTCTTTCTTCTCTGCTCTGATCTAACCACCCGTGGCAGCGGTTGGCTCCGCCTGTGTGCAGTGCGCTACTCTGTTTTTCTCTTGTTCCCGTGGGGATTGGTTACTTGGTTAGTCCTGTTGGTTATGCGAGCGCGATTCATTCCTTGATCGCTGGGACGGCTGGGGATTCGGTTTCTAGAATCGATGGCCATGTTTACTGCACGATGTAGTAGGACATTGGTAATTTTTGTTTTCGAAGAACACAAATTTTCAGCATCAGTTGTGTTTCTGACTGGCTTAAAAAACATATGTACCTCTCTCTCTCTCTCTCTCTCTCTGCGATGATTCGGGCGTTTATTAAAAGTTTCAATGCTTCAGTCAGGTAGTACAAGTGTATGCAAAATATTTCAAGTGTGCTAATTAATGTAGTGGTATTGTGTCCCCCCTTACAGACGGTGATTACATGTGGAGTTCGGGAAGAGCAGCTGCAGCAGCGGCAGCATCATCAGTACATGCCTGCTCATGTACTTGGAGCCTTGGAGGAGCAGAACGAAAATATTTCCAATGTCACGTTGGACATCTTGACAGCAGGCACTGATTTATCCGAGGCAGCAAGTCCACCAAGAAGGACGAAGACGGCAGCATCAGCGACGACGATGCGTACACTCTTTTTTATTTGTTAAGATGAGCTAGATTCCACCCAGTTTTGCTCACATGATTGACTCATTTTTATTTGTTGGATCATGATGCACTAAAAGATGTTCAAAATTGATGGCATGAACACTCTTCTATATTTAAATAGTTGAAATGAGGGATTTTCTACTATAGAGAATCCTGACAGCACAGTCATTAAGGATAATAAAACATGTTATTTAGCAATAATACATAGGCTTGCATAGTAATTAACTGGTCATTTGATTTGTTGATTACATCCACTTTATACAATTCATTCTGCAGAGGGAAAGCAGTACAATAAAGTCTTTTTTAGTACAGCAAAGCAACTCCTTAGTTCTTATCATGTCTACTCACTTGTGGAAATATTTTCTTATGTCATTGCATTTTAATCATTACATAACATTATTACGCCCTACGATCCAAAATACCTTTCATGGTTTTAGTTCCTCCTTTGTTATTTGCTCATCTTATTGTGGTGTTAATTGAGTGTACCATATAAACTTTACAGGTTACTGTAATCTTGTGAAGCAAAGGTAACTGCTTCTGTTGAGTTGTTACAGAATGTCCTATGGAGGAAATCAGCAACAAAGCATACACTATGTCGTAATTCAAATTTGCTTGCAAGATTTCCTAGGAAACCCGATCCCTGTAATTCCAGTGGGATAGATGATTAATTGAACACATATAACTTATAATGTGTGATTTTAAAATAATTGAAGGAGGTTTGGTGAAATTTTAAAAATTGTTGTGACTTATCAAATCTTGTGAAAAATAAGAACTACTCATGCATTATTTTCTAAAACAATATCCTGTCATGATTTAGACAATCTCATCTACCGCATTATTCCTTGGTTGCAGGTCAGTAAGGTCGTCTTACTTTGATCCCTGGGTTAATGATGTTACTTTCCTAGAAGGTAGATGGAGTTATGACATTAGGCGGTTGACTAGATGGTCACCAATTGTTGATTTGTGTGCCAGGGACCACGCCCGCATCTCTGCTCCAGTCAATCACATTGTGCTATGATGCGCACATCCTCAAGTCTGGGAAGCGACCCTGGTAACCCAATTACAAGCGCATTTTTTTAATCCTATCACATGCGCAATCTCATCAGTGGTTAATTTTCCATTATCTGGTTCAAGTGTTTATTGGTCAGCACTGATAATTGGGTTCTTATAAATAAACATATTTGATGATGTCTTCTTGAATCGATCAGCCTCCCTAGATGAAATCAATAAACTGGAGTACTTGAATCTATCTGCCACTTAGCCCTTGAAACCAGTACGACTACTAGCC